ATCTTAAAGTTTTGCAAACAACTAAACTATTGCCTGTAAACTTGGCCCTTAAGTTTGAAGCACTTTCACTGTATTAACACCAAATTAATTTTGTCTTAAAATTCTGGCAAACACACACACACACTCTCATACAGACATATACATGGCTGTGTACGTTTGTGAGGACACAACGATTGAATTTTAAACAAGAAGGACAAATGCCGGCAATCAAGTGAAGTCATGTTAAAAGAGCAGCAAAATGAAGTCCCTGGCAGAGCAGGGCGCAGAGTGCAGGGCATTGTAACAATAATCAATATGCAGCAGTCAATAAAGGCGAGCAAAGGAGCGCATAGTCCTTGCCAAGGAGCAACAATTACAGGCGTAGGATAAGGAGTGTCGAGTGGTCGGTGGGGGTGGGGGCGTGGCCCATAGTTTTGCTGTGCGTCGGTTAAATGATGTGTAATCGTCTTATGTGCACTTGAATGCCTTTTGGCTTCTAATATGGGCAGCGAGGCGACAGACAACACTGGCGACAAGGACCTGCCAGAATGGACGAGGACACAAGCGACGAGGCGATGCGAGGGTGCAGGCAAGGGCACGACAAGTGGCCAGCCGGACCCGGCTGAAGCGGCCCAAGTAACCAATTCGCACACAAAAGAAAACTTTGCCATAGGCTGACCTCAAAATGCACAACGAACGAGCGCTGAATGGCAAGGACCTGTGGACCTAAGGACCTACGCCCAGGTCCTGGCAAACTTTAATTTACAATCAATTCAGGCGTGAATAATAAACCACAAGAAACCAAACAGAGCCCCGGCAATGGCCAAAGACAACGCACAAGTGAAAGTGTTGCCAACTAGCTGCAGTTTAAACTGTTCCACCGTGTGTGTGTGTGCACGTATGTGTATATGTTCTAAAATTTAGTTACAACACAACACCAGAAGTTTAGCAAGTTTTCAAACAAACAAAGGACCAGGCCCGTTGCCACTGAATGCCTGAACTCAAACCCAAGCCCAAACCCAAACCGAAGCCCAAGCCCAAGCCCTAACCGAAACCCCAACTCGAATCCTTGGCCAAGGCGAACCGCAACACTTCCGCCAGTGCTCAACGTTTCAACTTGAACGTCAAGTGTCTTGTCCGGTTTGGTCCCTGGCGACGTCTACGACGACGACGACGACGACGAATACGTCTGCGTTTGCCTCTCTGGGCCGGGCTATCAATATTGTTTTCCTATTAAATTGATCATTGGTCAGCAACAATTGTGGCCAAAAATGCGCACAAGTGGACGTCGAGTGGTCCCCCTATTCCGAACCGCCCCTCCCCTTCCAGAGCGTCTTTTGTTAGCAGCTTGTGCGGCCTTTGTCTGACCGTTGAGTGGCAGCCCAAGGGAGCTGCCACCACGTCCGACTGGCCACTTCTGTACATTAATTGTACGATTCTAATGAAATTAATTGAAATGCTTGGCTGAATGTTCTGAATGTCTCGTTGTGCTTGTGAATGTCGGCAATGCCAAAGAGTGTGCATTTGCTGCATTGCCTCGGCTCGTTTGGAGCTACAGCTATTTGTGGCATTTGCCACAATAACCGTCAATCAAATATTCAAATCTTAAACGAGTTGAGGTAACCATCGGCATTGCCATATTTCAACTACCTTCAGCTCTATGATACAATAATCGAGGTCGGTGCGAAAATCGAAACTTTTTCGATGATTTTTTTAAATATCTCGGGTAATAGCTCCGCGTGGAGATATGACGTTCCAAAACGACATAACTCCAAGCGGAGATATGACGTTCCAAAACGACATAACTCCAAGCGGAAATATGACGTTCCAAAACGACATAGTTCCGCGCGGAGATATGACGTTCCAAAACGACATAGCTCCGCGCGGAGATATGACGTTCCAAAACGACATAGCTCCGCGCGGAAATATGACGTTCCAAAACGACATAACTCCACGCGAAGATATGACGTTCCAAAACGACATAGCTCCGCGCGGAGATATGACGTTCCAAAACGACATAACTCCAAGCGGAGATATGACGTTCCAAAACGACATAACTCCAAGCGGAAATATGACGTTCCAAAACGACATAGTTCCGCGCGGAGATATGACGTTCCAAAACGACATAATTCCGCGCGGAGATATGACGTTCCAAAACGACATAACTCCGCGCGGAGATATGACGTTCCAAAACGACATAGCTCCGCGCGGAGATATGACGTTCCAAAACGACATAACTCCGCGCGGAGATATGACGTTCCAAAACGACATAGCTCCACGCGAAGATATGACGTTCCAAAACGACATAGCTCCGCGCGGAGATAAGACGTTCCAAAACGACATAACTCCGCGCGGAGATATGACGTTCCAAAACGACATAATTCCGCGCGGAGATATGACGTTCCGAAACGACATAACTCCTTCCAAATCATCACGTTTTTTTTCAAAATAGAGGTCGGTGCGAAAACTGAAACTATTTCGATGAAATTACCCTGAACCCATTAAAAATGGGTATAAGGGTATATTTATATTGTATATGTGCGAAATCCAAATATATGTAACAGGCAGAAGGAAGCATCTCCGACCCCATAAGGTACATATATTCTTGATCAGCATCAATAGCAGAGTCCATCTAGCCATGTCCGTCTGTCTGTCCGTCCGTCCGTACGTCAGTCCGTCCGTCCATCCGTCCGCCCGTCCGTCCGACTGTCCGTATGTATGAACGCAAAGATCTCAAAACATATAAGAGCTAGAGACTTGAAATTTTAGATGTAGGTGCTCCTAGTGCCTGCGCGGATCGAGTTTATTCGATACTCGATAACTTACTCCGTTTCCAAGCAATCGATAAAAATCGATATCGATACCCGTGATTTGGCAATTTTGGTAAATAATAAGAGCTAGAGTCACCAAACTTGACATATAGCTTCTAAAATAGAATATATATATGCATTTGATGTTGGAAGAAGAGGGTTCAGGGTATCCCCTAGTCGGGAGCTCCCGACTAGAACATCTTACTTGTTTTTTTTTTCTCTCTCTCTCTCTCTCTCTCTCTCTCTCTATCTATATCTCTTTCTTTCTCTCCCGCTTTTTCTGTTTCGCTCAGTCTCTCTTTAACATGAAAATAAAATCGTTTATTATCAGCAGATAGGAACCCCTCCTGAATTCCTATATGTTTATATTGATACTACATGCACCATACAATGCATAACACAGCCCCAGCACCCCCGCAGTCGGTTCCTTGTCCGCCCATCCCGTTCATAACGCTCCCCACTACCTCATCATTCTTATAAGCCGTCCAAGTGGCAGCCAAATTCAACTCAATTATGCACAATTACAGACACAAACAGACCAAGTGGCCATGGAGGTGAGGCAGGCATGTATGCATCAACCACCGCCTCTTTCCACACTCTTCGACGCCTATTTAATAGCCAAACGACGACCTTAATAGGAGCCTGAGGCAACTTAACTGCGCGCAGCAATGACAGCGGCAGCAGCAGCCGTTGGCACTGCTACTCATGCGGCTCCTCCTGCAATCCATTTTTTATTTTTGGTATTTTTTGTAGCGGGTTGTGGTATGGTGAGGGTGGTCGTGGAAGAGAGGATGGGATGACACCAGCAAACAAATGCAGTTGCATTCGGCCATGGCCATGCAGTGCGGCACTTGGTTGGCGCTTAAATTGCATGCATAGCTCATTGCTTGCCACTCGACGTGGGGCTCAAGTGCAGCTGAAAAATGCAGTGGGCTAGGGATGGGTAGACGGGAGGGGGGTATGGGTGCAGGGGTGTGCCTGACTGTTGGCGACTGCTGTCAAAATGCCATTGAATTGCTTAAATACTTTGGTAATGCGGCAGTGGAGTCGTCGGCTTAATGGCTGGCAGCCAGCTACCATATTTGGTTGCCATGTGGCATGTGCCCCAAAATGAGGCAACATATGCCAATGGCAGGCCATGAATAAAACGGCCTGTGTGACTGCACGAATGAATGAATGAATGAGCGATATGAAGTGCAATCAATGCAAAAATGTTTTCAAGTACAGAGCCAGGCAGCCGGACAGCTAGACAAACCTGCAGCAGATGCAGTTGCAGCTGCACAGACCCAGAGCCTAACTAGAGATAGCTCTAAATTCCGGGAGTGTGTGTGTGCATGTGTCTCTATGTGTGTGTGTGTATTGACGCACGTCGGTGTGAAAGGATTATTCACACACTATTGATTTCAAATTGAGTTGACTTCAAATCCGTCTGAATTGACAGGCAGTCAGCTGAGGCAGGCAACACATGGCAACGGCTTCAAGCGTTCGTTGCCTTCATGTGTGTTTGTGAAACCGGAAGTTGACTAATGAATTTAATTTGCAGTGGGTGTTGAAGCAAATAGAGCGACAAACAGATATACACATACCAGCTTGCCAGCCGCCCAGCCAGCCAGCCAGCCAGAGGAGTCTCAGCTAGAGATGGAACTGGTAAACGGAGCTCGAAGCCAGAGTCGGGGAAACTGACTGATTGACTGCCAGATTTGAGTGGTTGTCTGTGCTGTGCTGTAAGTAGGCAACTGTTTTTGTTTGGCCAACACACTGAGTGTGTGTGCGTGTGTGTGTGTGGGTGCGGCAGGCACATGGCCAAAATGCAATAACAATATGCCACATTCTATGGGATGTTTTCCCTCATTAAATCGATTAAATCGCATTTTGCCTTCAGATTTGGGCCATGCATATTTTAAAGTGTAATTGACTTAGCACATAAATAAACTCGATAATTGTTCAGGGTATTTATATTAGGATAAGATATATATCAACTACCGTAAAATATATACATGGAGTCCGTCTTTTTTAAGCAAGCTAGTGACAGCCCCCTTGGGTGGCCGACAGTACTCCTTGCTAATCGCCAAGGCGAGAGGTCAGCTTTAAAAATCCTTCTGCTTATGCGGGTCTCTGCGGTTACCCAAAGATCCTGTGAGTTCAGTAGGCGGTGACTCTATGCACTGCTAAATGTCAATGTAGACCATGCGATTTGTTTAGTTTTACTTCGGCTTTCGTTAGTTACACATACAACAAATATTGGAAATCCTTTTTAATTTTTTTTCTTTTCGTGTGTCTGGTTTTCGTATTTATGTGTCTCTTCTCCTAGGTAAATATTTTTTCGCAACAAGATATATATACGCACACACATATATACGCCTCCATTGTTTCGTTGATCGTCGAATTGTGAGAAACATGAATGAATATTTAGATAATGCCAGACGCAACATTCAACGGACGATGAACAGCAGTTACCACTCCCTATCGGAGGTGGCCTCAATGGCCAGTTCCCTGGCCGCGAGTACCGGGAGCCAGCTATACAGCAGCCTGATGAGCCTGAAGGCACAGGTAATACCGTCCGCCAATGAGCCAATATCGCCGGTGCCATCCGCATCAGAATTGGGCACGTCGACAATACCCTCGAGCTCACAGCAGATACGACTGATTAGTGTGGTATGTGGCTTTCCCAAGGACATCGGCATGTATCCAGACTACGCGCGAGGGCAGTTTGGCGAGGACGCTTGGTTTAGGACCTCCACATCCAAGGCGGACGCGTTGGGCGTGGCCGATGGCGTCGGCGGCTGGCGGGTCTACGGCATCGATCCGGGCCAGTTCAGCCGTTTCCTGATGCGCTCCTGTGAGCGTCTGGCCCACAGCGCTGACTTTGAGTCGACCAGACCCGAACAGCTACTTGCACGCGCCTACTGCAATCTACTGGAGCAGAAGAAACCGATCCTGGGCAGCTGCACCGCCTGTGTGCTTACCCTGCACCGCGACAGTGGCATACTCTATGCGGCAAACATTGGGGACAGCGGCCTTCTGGTCATACGGAATGGTGCCATTGTCTGCCGCTCCTTGGAACAGCAGCATCATTTCAATACGCCATACCAGCTGGCGGTGCCGCCTCCCGGACAAGGCCTCAATGTACTGACCGATGGGCCAGAGTGTGCCGCACTGCTGGAGTTTGATATGCAAATTGGGGATATACTCATATTGGCCACCGATGGCGTCTACGACAATGTGTCGGAGGACCTGCTGCTGCAAGTGCTCACCCATGCCTCCGGTGTCACAGATCCCGTCAAGCTACAGATGTTTGCCAATTCGGTGGCTCTGATGGCCCGTTCGCTCAGCTTCAATCCCAACCACGAGTCGCCCTTTACCCAGAATGCCAGACGCCACAACATCGATGCGCCTGGCGGCAAGCCCGATGACATCACCGTCGTTCTGGCGAGCGTTGTTTAAAATAGATGCCCACGATGATTATGAATATACAGTCAGTACAGTTATTCACACAAGACCCCATAACAAACCCACCTGCGCAATCACTGGCAGCTGTGCACAGCTCTCCAGGGTTCCAGTTCAGTTGTGGGCAATTGCCAGTGAATGCTGCCGGGCGAGCCGAATTGGCAACTCAAGCAGTCCTGGGCCACACGGATCAGGAGACGGCATCATTATATATATATATGTATATATATATATATGACAGCCTAATCCGAATGGGAATAATTAATATATACATATATATATATATATATATATACACATATATATTTTAAAATATATATATGCATATATGTTTATATAGAGTGGGGTATAGATAGGAATCCAGCTGCTTATCGCTGCTGAAGCATTGCCCTAAGAATACGTGGACAACATTCTGAGTATTTATATTATTCATAGCCCATAGACCTTTACTTATCTCAATCAACGCATCTCTCCCCCCAACCCCAACACACTTTCAGAAACTTCTAATTGCAAAATTAAGTCGAGTGTTTTATTAATTTCTGGCATAAAGATATTAAAATGTTCTATTGTGCTAGACAATATGAGTATTTTTTTTTTTTATGTTTCGACTTGTTGCTATTTGCACTACTTGATCTACTTTTTGGGATATGACACACTTAAACTTTTATAAATTGTAAGTTACATGTGAATGTTATGGCTGTATCATTTATTACCTATAACAAATAGAAAAAAAAATAAAAACATTTCAACTGATTTTTCCTGTGTCAGCTATGTGATTCACTAGATAGACCAGGCCAATTTAATATGTAAATGGCTTAGGATAGGATTAGGATTGAAGAAATATCTTCGAGAACTGAACCAAAGCTATGAAGGAATGATTCAATATTTTTACATATTTCAAGAACAATATGAGCCTCTTTATTTAAGTAGTTCGGCTCGGAATACATCCAAAATAAACAGCGTTTATTTACAGAAAATTGACATTAAATCTTTTCCGGTAGGCCATCTTTTGCGCGTATGGCTATAAAAAAGTATCCTGGCTTTAGACTACGCCGTGTTTGTTTTGTTTTGGACTCTCTCTGCCTGCATGTCAGATAACATTCCGCATACCTAGACGAATTCAGGTTGTTGTTGCTGTTGTTGTTGTCAGCTTAATTGAAAAATGTTGCCTGCTGCTTGTCAACATTTTGATTTCCAATATGTTGTCTGCCACATGTATCCAGGGGCTGGCCGCATTATAAATGGGGCGCGCCCAGTGCAAAATTTGGCTTAAAATTTCACACGTTTGCCCGCGACATGTGTCGCTCTGGTCAGAGCTGGAGCTGGCCTATGGCTCGGTTTAACCACTTCCGCAGGGCAGAGCACAACAGCGGTCAAATGCAGAGTTTCCCCGCCGTCGTACTGACCCCCCCCCCCCCCCCCCTCGCACTTGCCACCCAATGACATTTACCGTTAGCATATCAATAACACACGCTGCGGCGCAGACCGGACTCATAAAATATGGCAACGGCAGTGGCAACATTCGCCCGTCAACTTGCATGGGGCATGTGAAACGTGACGCCTGATGCCAGGCAGCGACGCCTTGCTGCCACACACACACACACACATACACACACACACTTATGTACCCCTCCCTTGACCATCATCTACCACTGCTTCCGCTCAGCCTCTAGGTGAGCTCTGTGTTGCCCGCGACCCGTTTGATTTTGCATTTCATGCAAATTTTTGGTGGCTGCCCTCGACGATGACAAGGCGCACTCTCTGGCGGGAAGTCGGGGGTGTTGGGGCGAGCAACGCGGGCGCGCAACTCTGTCGCATCATCGGAAATGAATCATTTGCTTCGTTTGTCGGCATCCGCTTGGCGCTTATTTCCGTTGCGTTGCTCGTTTTTGGCCTAAACCAGCGCCAGCCAACCGGCCAAACAGCCAACCGGCAAACCATCCAACCAGCCAGCTGGCCGGAGAGAACGGCCTGACATGTGTGCGCGGCACGCTTCCGTGACAGAACATGGATCCACGGATGGGGGCCCACACAGGTAGCATTTTTCCATGCGTTTCCTTTGACACCTGTCCTAGTGTGAAGCGCTCGAACCCGGTCCGTGTATAACACGTCGCGATGGCTGCTCAAAGAGTGAGAGAATCAGTGCTCGTAATCACCGTGAGATGTGATAGATGTGATATGTTATCGATAATCACAAAAGTATATCGATTGCTAAGACAGTGCTGGATAGCAATTTATAATTCAAAGAAATCAACAATATAATATTGGTAGCGTATTCAGTGATGGAAAACAAGGTGGGAAATTGAAAGCCAACAAAGTCTGTAATATCGATAGGCACAATGGTATATCGATGGTAGATTCCGTGCTGGAAAACACTTACCGATATCGATCGATAATTTCTAACCAATTATTTTTCGACAAGTGCAGTCTTCTGGAATGAACTATAGCATACTTTGAGGTTGACACTTTGTTGTTGATTTTTTGTCTTGAAAAATTCAACTGGAAGCAGTGGCCCGCATATTAGTGACCTTTGCTTATCCATCCATTTAAGCTTCTTTCCGCTGCTGTTGCTGCTGCCAGCCCATCCAGCGCTCATCCTTTTTATCTATCCGACCGTCCGTTCAGCCATGCGTTTGTCCACACTCATTTGAGTCCCGCATAAATCAATTGCACTTGTCATCAACTCAATTAATTTTTGGCAAACAAAGTGCAGTAAATCAATTGCTTTGGCAGCTCGGCTCGTTGACCATGCGCCAGGCGCCAGGCAGAGGGCACGGGTTACAGAAGGGGATCAAACGGGGTTTGGGGGGGTCAGGAAAAACGTTGGCCAGAATGCCCTTTGCTGTGATGTTGCTGTTGCGCTCCCATTTTTGCTGGATATATATATTTTTTTGTTTTTTTTTTTTTCTTTTTCGACGTTTGTCATTGGCATTTTTTGTCACTCGGCGCAGTTTTTCCGCTTTTATTTGTGCGTTGCATTCAGGTCCTGTCCGTATCGGACTGTTGTCCGGAGGCGGGGCGCGACTCTGGCGACTGTCGACTGTCCATTTTATGAGCCGCCGCCCCATACATGTTGACACTGTATCAAATGGGGTTAAAAAGTGATTAAAGTAGGTTTGGCAAATGTCAACAATGTTTATACCGTGGCCATTGCCCGGCCTGCGTTCGACTGCGGGTCCTGGGGTGGGATGAGTCTGTTGGCGGAGGCGGGTGCGGGGGCGAGTAACTGTCGTGCGAGTGCTCTTGACGTTTTGGTATGCAGACCAGCCGGTTCGCCTGGTTCGCCTGGTTCGCCTGTTGACCCTGCCCCACAACAGCCACACCTTCATTCATTGGTAGCAATGTCGTTCGTTTGGCTGCTCGATTCGATTTGCAATTTTTTATATCATATCGTCGCGCCCTGCGTTCCACCCATTTTGGCTATTGATACACGCAAACAGCGAGCACATCCAGCCAACACTTCCATCTATCGTCCTGTCACGTCGCGCCTATAGACAGCGTTAAATTATGCAACTTTTTCGTTATTTTGCTATGCGAAAATTGAATTTATGCACTTGCGCTCCTGGCCGAAATGTTTCTCACATCTGTCTGCCTACACGGAGTGGGTCCTGCAGGATCTGCAGCTGACACATCCAGTATTGGCTGATTGTTTCACGTGCACCCAAACACTGCCTAGCTGCCAATTGCATCTACCTAAATTTGAGTAAACGGAAATGTTCTTTGGAATTGCGTTCGGACTCAGACTTTGTACACTCATTTGCTAAAACTGCACCGATTTTTATATGGTCTGCCATTTTGATTAGAGCATGTCCTTAAAATGAATTTAGCTATTCGACATTTGTTTGGAATCTAGAATCGTGTCCGGGCAGCTCTCCATGTCTTCTACGCAGCCTTTGTCTTCGACTCCGATTTCAACATGGAGACACACTATGCATACGGGCTTTTTGGTCGTATGTCATGCTTGGTCAGGCGATTTATTTTCAACGAAATACTCTTAAAATTGTTGCGTAAGTTGCAAATGCAACTGCAGCGGGAGGGCACTCATGAAACAAGCAGACAGCAACGTAAACAAGCCCAAGGCATGTGTGGGCTCAGAGATTGCGTGGCGGGGAAGAGTGTTGTTTTGGGTGTATATCTATATATAAATTACGCACCCACATATATAAATTACCTTTTGATAAATCTCAGTCGTTGGCTGTTCTCTCGGTATCTCTCTCTCTCTCTCTCTCTCTCACACACACACTTTCAAACTGTAAGCCAAGCAGTCAAAATGCACAAACATATAGAAAAATGTGCAGTCATGGAATAGAAAGGAATGGAAGGGAATGGAACGGAAGAGGGTGGCAACACTATGAGCTGTTTGTATAACTGTGCTGTGCACACACTGTCGCACTTGAGAAATCTTTTCGAACGTAAATCAATCCGTGCAGCTACATCATCGTCCGACTAAAACTACAACTGCGACGTCGCCGTTGCCGTTGGCTGCGACGCTTTTCCGGCAGAGAGAGCCTGGGCGAAAGCTGCACCAATTGCTTTTCTTGATTGTTTTGTGTGCAACTGCTGCTGCTGGTGCTGCTGCTGTGCCCGGCGCCGAGCCTAGCCACATATCGAAATGTAAATTCAAGTTACAGTTGGAATACTCGTAAGCCACCTTGCCCAGTCCAAGCTCACTAGACCCCAAAGTCGCCCACTCGTAGAGAGCTATGACAAAAACGAAGCTCCACAAAAGCGATAACGACACTCATCATCAACCAAAGTCGGATTTGCTAGCTGCCTGACCCAAACTAGCTCTTAGCTTCCCTCTCTCTCTGTCTCTCTTTCCAACTCGCCCGCTCTCTCCCTCTCTCAGTCTTTCTCTGTCTTCCGTATGCATTTCAAAAACGCAATTTTTGGTCCTTGGCCAGAAGTTGCCATTGCAATGCGTTGAACAATTTCGTTTACTTTGACCCCGGACTCCAGAGTGAAAAGATGACCAAGAGTTTGCCACGTTTTGAGCCGTCCTGCCTCCTGCCCCCTTTTCCGCCCAATCCTCCGCCGCTGCTGTGTATTTTCCGTTTTCG